ATTCCAACTCGAGTTTTGATAGTCGAATGTGTCCCATTTATCAAGGGGTTTGGGAATATCAACACCATCAATGGTGACAATAGGTTCACTCCACCCATAGATCACACAGTGCCAAACTTTCTCATCGATAGATTTTAAAAAAGCTTTCATATGAGCTTTCCAAAAAGAATAGTTTGTACCATCAAGTAACGGAGGTCTATGGGTCAAGTTACCTTCACGGATTGAATCCATATCACCAATCACACAAATCACACTCCTATAGTTTTGATAAAAACAAGGAGTGACCCGCTCTGATACTAATTAAAAAACCTAAGTGATTCGTGATTAGATCAAGATTTAATTATTTCAATTCCCAACCAATTAAAACTCACAATCTAAATTATCAAGCACGTACAAAAGTGATTGTTGTTTCAATTGTGATAAAATCACACTCCTATAGTTTTGATAAAAACAAGGAGTGACCCGCTCTGATACTAATTAAAAAACCTAAGTGATTCGTGATTAGATCAAGATTTAATTATTTCAATTCCCAACCAATTAAAACTCACAATCTAAATTATCAAGCACGTACAAAAGTGATTTAGATTGTTGTTTCAGAAAATAATAAATCGACACAAATGATTTTTACATGGAAAAGCCACAATTGAAACACCTTCAATTGTGATAAAAAAAAAAACCACGGGTGAAACGCCACAAATCAATCCACTACTGAAGAAAGAAAAGATTACAAAGATACCAAACAAATTACCCAAACGCTTCCAATTTGTCTTCAAATCTTCTGTATGTCTTTCACTGCAACCTTCATTCGGAACTAATTAGATTGATGTTGAATCCACAACATCTATTGTCAAATCAACGGCTGCACACAACATCAAACACCTTTGATTACTCTGTGCTTGAATCTTCGGATTCCACCGAAGAAGAATACTCTCAAAGAAGATCAAACAAACTCCTTGATGTGTGCTTATAAGAACATGAGTTCAAACTCAATCAAACATCAAGGAAAACAAGAAAAGTATCCCGAAAAGAAAACCCTTAAACCCTTAAAGAAGATCTAGAAAACATAACCCTAGATTTGGAGCAATTTGAGGTTTTATAGAGGCTGAGATCGCGAGGTCCGCTCGAGTGTGGGAATAGACGCTCGAGCGAGGAGTCTATATCACCTGTTCCAAACCAGGGTTCATGCTCGAGCAGAAGATCCCACGCTCGAGCATAAAAACACACCACTCAGTATATTTTGTAGATGAGCCAAATACTATGAGAGTGGAATCTCCGCGCAAGCGCCACTTTTCCCGCTTGAGCGGGAAGACCAAAAACTGGAAACATACAACTCAATTTAAACCCAAGTTTGTCCACAGAATTTGACAAGTAGGGTCCTAAACATGCAATTATGTATAATGGGTCAGCCATTTCAAAAAGCCACATCTCATCCAAAATCTGATTACATTCTTCTATACTAGGCCGTTTAGAATTCCGAAATGTTTTAAGCGTTTTAAATAGTTGTTCAACTAGATCATTGTATTTGTTTTTCTTTTGATGTTTATCGTCAAATTTTGCCACATCCTTTGGTGAAGATGTCTCAAGAAATTCATCATCAAGATTAATGCATATTTCTAATTGTGTTCCAAAGCCATCGGTAGGTAACCTTTTTCGGTGGACCCCATGAAATTTTTTTAGTTGCTTTAATACCATTAAATAATGCTTTTAGCTCATTTTCATTTTGTAAACCAACATATCAAAATTGTTTTGCCTCTAGATTAACCTATAACACTACAAATTTGAAAATTACACGCATATATTGAATGCCTTTATGTTTTTTAAACAAATATATCAACATTAAAGATAGTGATACCTTTATGTACTCATCACATTCTTGTGGACTCCAATTTATTATATTAGTCACTGAATCATGACCATTCCCAGTTTTAGAGATTATCTTTGACCACACCTCATATTTCTTTTTCAAATATTCCCATTGCTTTTTTAACTGTTTTTGAAAAACGTCAAAATTCTTTTATTGCTTAAAGACTACCCTCATCCCACCCCAAGATTCTTTTTTAAGACTACCACCATTTTTACAAATTTTAGAAGCATCTTCTAAACACAAAGTTAGGAAAAGTTTAGACAATCTGGATCTTTCCACTGTCATCAAAAGCTATCCTAAACGTAAAATGTCATTATACTTAATTAAAATAAATTTCACATATGCATGAATTTTTTTTTCTTTTTTTGTATTCAATAGAAAAAGAAATAAATATTACTTATGTAACTAAAATAAGTAAAATATAAATTCATAGATAGAATAAGAGCCTTAAAACTTATGAAGTAATCGCATTATAGTTTTTTAACAAGAAATTGGAGGCTTGATCAATTTTATTTTATTTTTTTTTTTTTTTTCTATTTTATTTTATTTTTTTCTTTTTTTGACTATGGGCTTTTTTTTATTGGGAATTAAAATATAACAGTGATTCTCTATCTAAGTAAAATTGATCTATAATTATGATTGGGTTTATTTTCATAACGTTTTTTCATTTTTATGTTTTAAAAAAATATAAAAACTAGTTTAACAAAAATAAACAGAAAAAAGATAAAATCATATGAAAATAATGAGTATTTTTTTGTTTTTTTTATTTAAAGTATTTCTTGAATTTGTTTCAAAAACAAATTCTAAAAACTCAATCAAGCAATTTTTTTTTTAAAAGGCCTACTAGAGAAAAACCATATGAAGAACCAAGATAAAGACATAATAAAAATTCCCACAAACATATATATATATATGTATATGTATATATGCTAACATACACAAGTTAATATATATATATATATAAAACAATTATAATAAAAAAAAAATCTCATAAAAAATGTATTCACATATATACATGCAAGTTAAATCCAAATAAAAAAGTAATTTTCTAGACTTACCTGCTTGCCTTAATATAGATGAATTGAATTCTTGGAAGAGCAGCCAAAATCGAGAGGGAGAGTAGACAAAGAGGCCAAAACTGTGAGGAATGAAGCATTGAGAAATAAGTTTTTAAACCTATATAATATGACTTAGTGCCTTTTTTTCTTCCGCACTTAGTGCGTTAAGTGATGAGAAAAAACTAGGGTTTTTTTACTGAAAATTTTAGCCTTTTTTAAAGTGATGCAATATTTGTACAATTAAACCAATTTAATTAAGAAATCACTTAATATTTTTAGTTTTATGAGCTGAATTAGGTTTAGGGGTGTCCGCGGTTCGGTTTGGAACGGTTTGCGGTTCAGTTTGGACCCGCCCGCATCTATGCGGTTTGGAAAAAAGTCAACCCACAACTGCCCGCAATGCGGTTTGCGGTTTGTGCAGATAGGGTTCGCGGATATGCGGGCGGTTTGCGGATTGAACTATTTTCAAAAATTATTTTTAAACCCTTTTTTTTCCTCCCATTTTGTCAATCTTTATTTTGGACATTTTTCCTCATATTTTATAAAATGCTCCAACATTAATAATTAATGAATTAAAATTTATAAAAAACTTACAAAATAAAAAACACAACAAATTCAATTCGAAACCTAAACAAACGGTTTATCCGAACCGCTCAAACCGCCCAACCCGCATATAAATGGGCGGTTTCGCAAACATAATGCGGGCGAATGCGGTTTGAAATATGACAAATTTGCGGGTTGCGGGCGGGTCGCGGTTTAAACCCGCAAACCGCAAAAACCGCCCGTACTTTAATTATTATTATTATTATTTTTTTTTATATACCAACTTTGTAACTTTTACAGGAGCACCATTATATTCTCTATGACACTAGGATCCTTATTTTTAAGTATTTCTCAACTTTCTTAATGTCGTAGAATTATCAAGTCCTAAACTTGGTTTCTTATATGATTTTCATTGGTGACTCATCCACTTGTTCCTAATAAAATTTTCCTTCTAGTGGTCGATGGAACTTCTAGTTTATTCTAATTCCATGCATTTGGTTGATGAACCCTACACAAAAACAAATTGAAAAAATATAAACTTTAATCCTCAATTATAGTAAAAAATGAAAAGATAAACGAATGTCTATATATTTCATCTCAATATAGTAAGAAAATGTGTTGAGTATATGAAAAAAATTACCAATGATCAAATAGATATTAGAGATCAATTATAGCATCAACATTATAGGTTGAAGTTGAAGATGAGCTTGACTCCAAAGTACCTAATTAGGAATCAACAAGAGAAGATTAATAAAACTTACATTAGAAAATGAACAATACAAATAAAAATGATGATAAATAAATTCTCATTTACCCGAGTCATATTGCTCAAATTCCTCCACATCATCCATTGCCTTTCGAAGAGAAATTGGAATGTTGCTTCGAAGCCAATTTTGAGTACATACAAGAGCTTCAACCATAGAAGGTGAGAGTGAACTACGAAATGGGTCAAGAATACGCCCTCCCGTACTAAAAGCCGACTCCGATGCAACGGTAGAAATAGGCATGGCCAACACATCCCTTGCAAGTTGTGATAACACCCTATATTTGATTGCATTCACCTTCCAATAATCCAAAATCTCAAATGTTTGATTCTTTGCAAAATGTTCAACCTCGGATAAATATTGTTCCAATTCCGACTTTGATGCACTAGTGCATCGCTCCTCCAAATAGGAATTAAATTGGGAGTAAACTAAAGAACAGGGATCATCATCATCATCATCATCTTCCACCATATTCACAACTTCACTCATACTTGGAAGTTTCTCATTTGAAGGATAAAGTGTGACATAATGGCTATACAAACGACTCAAACAACTCTTAACCTTGTCTACCATCTCTTCCACTTTCCTATTATCTCCAAGAAATAAATTGGAAAAACAAAACTCCAAGTATGTAATTTTTTTGGTAGGATCAAGAACCACTGCAACATACAACAACAAATTGATTTTACTTCCATCCCCCCAATACTTGCTAAACTTTAGCTTCATAGTCTTTGCCATTGAGTTCAAAGTATCATCCTCCTCCAAAATTAATTAGTTAATTTTGCTTTGAATAACAAACATCTCTTTGTAAAAAGCATTGGAAGTAACAAAGAGAGACCTCAAAAATTTCTTAGTTGCAACATGAAATAATTTTAGAAACCTCAAAAAAATTCTACACTTTTTCCGATCCAATTCATTCGGACTTCTTCTTATGCCACCATCAACATCCATGAAATAAGGTTCAAAGTTGGAATCCACAAACTTCAATCGGTTAAAAGCCTTCTCATACTTTTCGGCGGCCTCTAACATCAAATAGGTAGAGTTCCACCTAGTTGGTACATCTAGGCATACAAGAGCTTTTGAATCAAGTTTGAGTGTGGCCGCACACTTCTTAAAAACATCATGCCTATGAGGAGAAGACCTCACATATCTCACCGCAAGTCTAATGTTGGCAATAGAATCATCCATTTCTTTCAACCCATCACTCACAACAAGATTAAGAATATGTGCACAACAACGCATATGAATAAACTCATGTTGCAAAATAGTCCCCTTCCAATCTTTGGTTATCGTTTTCAAATATTGAATGGTAAGATTATTAGAACTAGCATTATCAACTGTTAAGGTGAATATGCTATCAATGTTCCACTCAATCAAACACGACTCAATTTTTCGACCCAATGTTTCTCCTTTGTGATCCTCAACTTGTTGAAAATTTATGATTCTTTTTTGAAGTTTCCAGTTATCATCAATGAAATGAGCAGTCAAACACATGTAACACAAATTCTGAATAGATGTCCAAGTATCCGTAGTAAAGCAAATTCTACGACCCTTCATGGCCTTCTTTAACTTATCCCTATCATTCTTGAATATGTTGAGCACTTCTCTAGATATGGTTTGACGAGAGGGAATTGGTGTGAATTTGGGTTGCATGACATTACAAAATCTTCTAAACCCAACACCCTCCACAAATCTAAATGGCAACTCATCAATGACCACCATCTCCGCAAGAGCCCTTTTACAAGTATCAAAATTAAAAATTGTTGCTACAACCTCAACACCCTCTTCATTTTGTTTCGGTTTAAGATTTAGTGTTTGTTGACCATCAATGCGGTTTGCGGTTTGTGCGGATAGGGTTTGCGGTTGTGCGGGCGGTTGCGGGCGATTTGCGGATTGAACTTTTTTTCCAAAAAATTATTTTTAAACCTTTTTTTTCCTCCATTTTGTCAATCTTTATTTTAAACCTTTTTTCTCATATTTTCTAAAATGCTCCAACATTAATAATTAATAAACTAAAACTTATAAAATAAAAAAACACAACAAATTCAATTCGTAACCTAAACAAATCATTCAAAATCTACATTCTATCATTAACTTACATTCATCCTATCCTACATTCATCATTCATAATCCAAATAAGAAAATCTTACATTAAAAATTCAACATTCATTATTCCTAACCTTCCAAAAAAAAAAAAAAAAAGAAGAGTAATTCTTCATTAACTTACATTCATCCAAAATGCAAAAAAATAAAATAAAAATTCATTAACTTACATTCATCCAAAACCAAAATGCAATTAAAAAATAAATAAAAATTGTTGTTAAACTTCATTCAATACAAACCCATGAAATAAAATAAAAACATTTCAATTTCAATCCTTCATTCACATGTTGTCAAACTTCATTCACATCCCATCCAACTTTCACAAATTCCAATTCCAATTCCAATTCCATGCATTTGGTTGATGAACCCTACACAAAAACAAATTGAAAAAATATAAACTTTAATCCTCAATTATAGTAAAAAATGAAAAGATAAACAAATGTCTATATATTTCATCTCAATATAGTAAGAAAATGTGTTGAGTATATGAAAAAATTACCAATGATCAAATAGATATTAGAGATCAATTATAGCATCAACATTATAGGTTGAAGTTGAAGATGAGCTTAACTCCAAAGTACCTAATTAGGAATCAACAAGAGAAGATTAATAAAACTTACATTAGAAAATGAACAATACAAATAAAAATGAAGATAAATAAATTCTCATTTACCCGAGTCATATTGCTCAAATTCTTCCACATCATCCATTGCCTTTCGAAGAGAAATTGGAATGTTGCTTCGAAGCCAATTTTGAGTACATACAAGAGCTTCAACCATAGAAGGTGAGAGTGAACTACGAAATGGGTCAAGAATACGCCCTCCCGTACTAAAAGCCGACTCCGATGCAACGGTAGAAATAGGCATGGCTAACACATCCCTTGCAAGTTGTGATAACACCCTATATTTGGTTGCATTCACCTTCCAATAATCCAAAATCTCAAATGTTTGATTCTTTGCAAAATGTTCAACCTCGGATAAATATTGTTCCAATTCCGACTTAGATGCACTAGTGCATCGCCCCTCCAAATAGGAATTAAATTGGGAGTAAACTAAAGAATAGGGATCATCATCATCATCATCATTTTCCACCATATTCACAACTTCACTCACACTTGGAAGTTTCTCATTTGAAGGATAAAGTGTGACATAATGGCTATACAAACGGCTCAAACAACTCTTAACCTTGTCTACCATCTCTTCCACTTTCCTATTATCTCCAAGAAATAAATTGGAAAAACAAAACTCCAAGTATGTCATTTTTTTGGTAAGATCAAGAACCACTGCAACATACAACAACAAATTGATTTTACTTCCATCCCCCCAATACTTGCTAAACTTTAGCTTCATAGTCTTTGCCATTGTGCTCAAAGTATCATCCTCCTCCAAAATTAATTGGTTAATTTTGCTTTCAATAACAAACATCTCTTTGTAAAAAGCATTGGAAGTAACAAAGAGAGACCCCGAAAATTTCTTAGTTGCAACATGAAATAATTTTAGAAACCTCAAAAAAATTCTAAACTTTTTCCAATCCAATTCATTCGGACTTCTTCTTATGCCACCATCAACATCCATGAAATAAGGTTCAAAGTTGGAATCCACAAACTTCAATCGGTTAAAAGCCTTCTCATACTTTTCGGCGGCCTCTAACATCAAATAGGTAGAGTTCCACCTAGTTGGTACATCTAGGCATACAAGAGCTTTTGAATCAAGTTTGAGTGTGGCCGCACATTGCTTAAAAACATCATGCCTTTGAGGAGAAGACCTCCCATATCTCACCGCAAGTCTAATGTTGGCAATAGAATCATCCATTTCTTTCAACCCATCACTCACAACGAGATTAAGAATATGTGCACAACAACGCATATGAATAAACTCATGTTGCAATATAGTCCCCTTCCAATCTTTGGTTATCATTTTCAAATATTGAATGGTAAAATTATTAGAACTAGCATTATCAACTGTTAAGGTGAATATGCTATCAATGTTCCACTCAATCAAACATGACTCAATTTTTCGACCCAATGTTTCTCCTTTGTGATCCTCAACTTGTTGAAAATTTATGATTCTTTTTTGAAGTTTCCAGTCATCATCAATGAAATGAGCAGTCAAGCACATATAACACAAATTCTGAATAGATGTCCAAGTGTCCGTAGTAAAGCAAATTCTACGACCCTTCATGGCCTTCTTTAACTTATCCCTTTCATTCTTGAATATGTTGAGCACTTCTCTAGATATGGTTTGACGAGAGGGAATTCGTGTGAATTTGGATTGTATGACATTACAAAATCTTCTAAACCCAACACCCTCCACAAATCTAAATGGTAACTCATCAATGACCACCATCTCCGCAAGAGCCCTTTTACAAGTATCAAAATTAAAAATTATTGCTATAACCTCAACACCCTCTTCATTTTGTTTCGATTTAAGATTTAATGTTTGTTGACCATCTATATCCCTATTTGGATATTCTTTACAACTAGGTGTATGACTCCTCAAATTGCTAGTCCCATGAAGTCTAGAGTCAGCCATATACTATTTCTTACAATATTTGCATACAACCTTGTCAAAATGATCCCAAACTGTGGATGGTGCTCTCCCCCCTCCACCCTCACTCTTTCTCTTTGGGGGTCTAGGAGGCTTAGGTTCAGGTTCGGGTTCGACTAAAAGGGGATTCATTTGAGAATTAGAGGATTCCGGAGGTACAAGATTTATTGCGGGAGATTGAATACTATCCTCCATTTAAACTGGATTGCAAAAACAGTCACAAATTCAATTTTAATTCAATCAAGCAGATTAATTCAACAGATTAATTCAACAGATTTAATCAAAAATTAATCCAAAAAACAGATTTATTTTTAATAACAGATTGAATTCCAAAAAAAACATCTGATTCAAATTCAATACAGATTCAACACATTTCAATTTTAAATTTCATAACAGATTTATCACAGATTGAATTCAATACAGATTCATCACAGATTTAATTCAATCCAATACCATAGATTTAATTCAATTCAATACCACAGATTTAATTCCAAAAACATAGATCTGTTGCAACAAACAAAAAATAAATAAATAAACACAGACAGATCTATGAACTGATCCAATTTATACAGATCCAATAAATAAATAAACACAGACAGATCTATACAGATTCAATACAGATCCAATTTCAATACAGATTCAAAAAAAATTAAATAAAAATTAAACAGATTTATGAACTGATTCAATACAGATAGATTCCAAACAAACAGATAAATTAGAGAGTAAGAGACATTGATTTATGAACTGATTTATGAACTAGAGATTAAGAGACATTCCAAACAGATAAACAAAAATTAAATAACAAATTAAACAGATTTATGAATTGATTTCAATACAGATAAATTACACAGACAGATTTAAATCAAAAAATCTGTTGCTTAAATCAAAAATTAAATCAAAGATATATTCCAAACAAACAAACACAGACAGAGATCGGGGCGAGAGAGAGAGAGAGAGAGAGGCTTACCTGTGAGAGAGAGCCAATTGGTGTAGATGCAAAATCAGAGAGTAAGAGACTGTGAGATAAGAGAGTGAGGGAGATGAGATAATGAGGGAGACAGATCAGAGAGAGACAAAATCTCATATGTTCGAAAAAAAAAACCAAAGATCGGGGAGAGTGAGACATAGACAGAGATCAGAGAGAGGGGCTTTACCTGTATGCGATGAGGTCGATCGATCGGTCGATCTTGTGAGAGAGAGACTTGATCATTGAGTGCGTAGATGAAAATCGCGAGTGAGAGTGAGAGAGAGACTGAGAGGAGGAGAGGAGATACAATTCTGATGAGTGAGTGAGTGAGTTTGATTAGATTAGGGTTTTTCTTGTTTTGAACGATCAGATTTGTAGGGGAAAAAATAGGTTATTTTGAACGGTCAGATGATAGATCAGATTAAAAAAAAAATCCAAACCACACCCTACCCTAATGTGTTTGCGAAATCGCCCATACATGTGCGGTTCAGATCGGGTAGGGCGGTTTGGGCGGTTCGGATGACCCTATGCCCAGCCCTAATTAGGTTATCAAACACCCCCAAATCTAAACTAATTATAAAAAGAGTGCTACTATTTATCTTTACATGTTTTTCTTAGAACCACCAACCTCTTAAGAGCTTCTATTTCCACATCTCATTTCCTTTTTGTTTACACACTTAAAGATATTTTATTTTATTACAATTTCATCCTAAAATAAAATTATCAAAATGTCCTTATTTTCTCCACCAAAATCCGAACTTCCTAAACCTAACCTTAGCCACCACTACGAACCACCATTACTACAACTCTGTCGCGATGAAATCCCCATTGCCACAAGCTTCCTACCATTGCAAACTCAGTCCACAGCCCTCTTCGATACCCTTGTAACCACTACCCTTCATTTTGTCAAAATCATAGTCGCAACCCCTCTCTCTCTCTTTACGAAACCCTAGCCACCACGATTTCTCTCTTTAAAACCTTAGTCACAGCGATCTCTCTTGTTGGTGAAAATATCTCTCTTGTTGGTGATCGGAGTTTGTAGTGGAACGCAATGATAATTTCGTCGGCAAAAACTTTTGCCGACTCACTTTTGCCTACGGGTTGCCAACGTAGCTTTGTGTGTTGGCAAAACTCTTTGCCAACGAATTTTCTCTTTTAGCAACATATTTTGTTGCGTTGCAAAAAATGCAATTTCTTGTAGTGATCGGAGTTTGTAGTGGTTCATGGCAATGGTAGCAATAGCGAGTGGTGACTAGGGTTAGGTTAGGTTTGAAGGTTTGAAGCAGCTAGGGGCATTTTTGACAATGAAGGATGTTTACTTACCAAAACTTGATATTTGAAAATCATTAAGTGGGTTCCTTGAGAAGATATGTGCACTGAGAGGGTTTGGTGTGTGGAAATAGAATTACCCACACTTAATTTTTTTTTTTAATTCCAATTTGTCCAAACATAAAATTCCATTTTTACTCTCATCCATAATCTTTTAACCTTAATTTCCCAAACCCTAACCCTAACTGTAACCCTAACCCTAATCACATCCCCATTACATCCGACAATCACCACCACCTCCGGTCGTCAACATTCCCTTTCTCCACCTCCAACCACCTCTCTCCAACTTCCCTTCACCGCTCTCATCCTCTTCTCAACCCTTATTTTCATATCTTTGTCACCACCCATCCCTCTCTATCACTTCTCAATGCCAGCAGTCACCACTACCTCTGTTACCACCTATCTCTTACTCTCCTCCACCACTCTCTCCTCTGCATCTTTCCATCCCCGTAGTTCCTCTTTCTCTTCTTTTTCTTCTTCTTCTTCTTCTTCTTCTTCTTCTTCTTCTGTTATAGATCTAGGCTTTGCTTGCGTGATTTAGGGAAGAGCCTCGCGGTAGTGATAGTTGGACCATAATCAAGATCGAGATTGCAAGAGAGAGAAGGGGGTTCGCAGCGTTGGCGTTTGCTGCAGGTTTGGTAAGAGGAAGACGAAGAGGAAGGATATAGAATGTGGGATGTGGGAGGAGGGAGATGGGTTGTGGTGGCAATGTGGTAGCACCAGTGGGTGGAGAAAGTGAAAAAGGTTTTGGATGCAGACAAGTAAGACTGTCAACGGTGAAGGTTGTTGGCGAAAGGAAAGACAGAACAAAAGTTGGGTCCAAAAGAAAAGGTTAGAGTTGGAATTAAGGTGGGCTCCAAAGAGAAAATGGACGGGACTCTCATTTAGTTGGGTGGGGTTCAAAGAAGTGGAGGACCAAAGTAAAAATGTAGGGACTAATAATAGTATTCTTATAAAAAACAGAAGGCATATATTGTTTGTCTACTTTTTTCTTCCCAAACTACCCTTATTATATTATATTAATATTAAATTTCTAAAAAACAAAGGAATTGATCGAAGCCGTTGTCAATCCAAACGGCATATTCCATTACGAAATGAAACCAAAGGTATGTTGAAATCCAAGAAAACCAAGTAAAAAGAATGGATAGTTAATATTTTTTTAGTGCTCGCCGTCTCTCTCTTGGATCAAGCAACAGCCTATTCCAGCCGACTTCAATGACTTACGGTACATTGATAAGCATAACTCCATTTTATAATTTTTGAGTTGTAATCACTATTGAATCTTTGATTAAGTTTAACTTTTGTATATGTAATACTGAACGTTCATAATTTGTGAGATTTGTCAATTATTTTATTTTCAAATCAAATAAAAATGAGGTTGGTTTCCGACATTTATGTAATACTGTTTGATAATGATCACTGTTTATTTTATTTTATTTTTTATTTTTTTTGTAACCATCGTAATTTAGTATTTACATAAAACATTATATATGTATATATATATATATGTGTGTGTGTGTTTTTTAAAAGTTTACTTTGAAAATAAGTGAAGGAGGTGACTCGTAGGAAATGTTGGCCGAAGGTAATTATTGATAGTCACATATTATGGTCAGATGTGGTATTGGTCATGTGGATGTGGTGATCAAATGTTGTTTTTAATAGCTAGCTGGAGGTAGTTGGCGGTAGCCAAAGATGGTTGTCGGCCGTCAGAAATGGTAGTGAAAGGTGTTTGTTAATAGTTGAAGATGGTAATCGATCACCAAAAGTGGTGGCGGATGGTCGGAGATGGTAATCGACTTTCGAAGGTGATGGCTAAAGATGGATATTGGCAAGAAAAGATGGCCAAAGGTGGTAACCATGAGAGGGAGATGGTGGCCGGAGGGAGTTAGGAAAGGAGAAAGGGGGGGAAAAATCCGAAATAATTTAAATCACCTTTTTGATGGTCACAAATGTTTTGTAAATTTTCTAAACCATTTATAAGTTTTATGAAAATAGATATCAAACAAGTTTTTTATATATATATTTAATTTTTAAAATTTTTGTTAATATAAATAAAAAAATTGTAAACATAAGCGTTACCAAATAAGCTTGTAATGTATGGTTCAATAGAATAAGAATGGAATGGGAACTTTCATCCTCTCCATTTGATTTATGTAATGAAAATTTTCTATCACATATCTAATGGTTGTGAAATAAGAATGTAAATTTATAATTAATTTAAATTAAAAGAGATCCACTACAACAAAAATACATTTTAGTGGCACTACACTAGTAGCATATTTTTAAAAAATGTCACAAAAATAATATTTGGTGGCATGTTTTTGAAAAATGCCACTAAACGACAAACATAAAAGACTCTAGTGACATTTCAATAAATAAGTGTCACAAAACTACAACAAAAACACACTTTAGTGACACTATATTAGTGGCATGTGTTTTAGAAAATGCCACGAAAAAAATATTTGGTGACACATTTAGAAAAATGCCACTGAACCACAAACATATAAGGCTCTAGTGGCATTTCAATAAAGAAATGTCATATCAATTTTATGGCATTTTATAAAAAGAATGACACAAGAAATTTGTTTAGTGACATTTATCAACAGATGTCACTAAACTAGGTAGGTTCAAGTTATTTTTTATGGCATTAGGCGAAAAGTGTCATAAACAATATTTATAGCATTTTGAAAAATGCCACTAAGCCAAAAACTTTCCAAGCTATATAATGGCATTTTTTGGAAAAACAAAAAATGACAATATATTTTTAAAAAATTTAAAAATCAAAAAATGACAATATACTTTCCAAGTTAATTTTTAATTTTTTTTTTCTAAAAATCAAACTATGAATAGCCTAAGAATCTTTTGATAAGTCATTTCTTACGTTGGTAACTTATTTAATTATTTGTTAATTTTACGACATTTTTTACCATCTGAGGCCTATTTGATAACCATTTCGTTTTCAGTTTTCAATTTATATTTACAAAAATTTTAAAAACTGTCATAAAAACTTGTTTCATATTTTTTTTGATTTATAAATTGTTGTCTCAGTTTGTAAATTTGAGAAAAAAACGTAAATTCAAAAAATGAGTTTATGTTGATTTTTAAACAGAAATTAAAAAAATTTACTAACAAAAATTTTTTTCAATTAATTTTTTTTTCAATTAATTTTTTTTCCCAATTAATTTTTTTTTCAATTAATTTTTTTTCCCAACTAATACTAACCGAGGGGACAATTGGTAATGCTACTTTAAACCTTAGGGAGGGGATTGTAATTTCTAAAATGTGAGGGGTGTCAATGTAATTTACCTAGTGAGGGCAAAATTGGTATTTAAAAAAATTAAATTGTTGAGGGGGAATCTATAATGAAACTTTAATCCTAAGGGGAGGTGTAATTTCCAAACAGTGAGGGAGAACTGTAATAAATATAAACCTCAAGGGGTGTCAATGTAGTTTACCTGTATTTTTAAATGACAAATATGCATATAAATGACATATGTCATACTTTAAAATAATAAATTTGCTCAACTCGTTAGCCTGTGTTTGGCAAGTGGGTTTGCAGGCTTTTTTGGCTATTTTAGCCACAAAAAATAAAATAGACTATTTTAGCCATAACAAACAAAACATCACATTCAACCCATAATCATTACATTCTTCTCTCACAAAAAAACTCAAAAAAATCAAAAAGCCAAAAAACCCTTCCCAAACCAAGCTTTTAAGCCCAGGCTAAAATAGCTAAAAAAGCCAAAAAATCAAAAAGCCAACCCACTTCCCAAACGGAGTGTAAGTTAACCACAACAAATTTAGTGATAATTTTTTATCAAAAATATTAACAGTATTATTAATTACATTAAGGCCAAGTTTGGCTAATAAAAAAAAGTGCACTTATTTCATCTTTTTATCTTTTTTGGGTCACATCAATCAACATCTTCTCTCTACTTTTTCTACACATAATACAAAAAAAGTCAAAAAGTACACTTATTTAGTCTTCCCAAACTTGACATAAATTGACACAAAATTAAAAATTACAAGTTACAAGTGATTCAATAAAAAATATAAGGACCAAAATTAATATTTACTTTTTAATTTAAGATAAGTTTTTTCCCCTTCTATATCATACAACAAAGTAGATAACGAAACTGAAGAAACAAACCAAATTTGATACAACAAAATCCGCATAGCAGATTGACATAGAGACAAAGAAGGAAGTCCAAAAATTGTGAAATTGGCGAAGTAAATTTGATTTTGGCGGGTCAAAGAGGCAGGAACCAAATCATGAAGCATGGGTTTATCAAATGCCATCCTTATCTACCATCTACACCACAAATTTCCTGTGTTTTCATCTTCTACGATCAGAGTTCATTAGGTATTCTTTCTCTCTTTCTCATTCTCATCAAACGTACACAATACCTCTATCTTGTTTTAGGCATATAACTTGATACAATCTAAAAATCTAATTTTGTAACTCATGAATTTATTAATTTTCATTTTTTAATATAAAAGGTTAGTTGTAATTTACTATTATTGTATTTATGTTGTGAATGTATATAATGTCTTGCAAGTGTTTGTTTAAATGCTTTAGTGGGATTTTGCATTAGGTTGCTCCTTCTTTTTTTTTTTTGACAAATTACTCAGTTAGATCACATAAACAAGCATCAATATATAGACTATGTGGCCAAGTTTCTTAGTTTAACCCTCAAGGTATACTTATAAAGTAGTTTCGTTGATGAACTTATTATTGTTTATTAAGATTTGTGAGTGGTAGATGTCGATGATTTGTGAGGTTTTTATAGGCTAGCTTATCATTAAAATGAAAATAATAATAACAATGATTCTCTTTCTTGTGATTGTCAAGGTGAATTATTAAATTTCCAAGCTACATTATCTGTAAATAGTATACGAATCGAGATTATACATAGTATTGCCTTGTAAAAAATGAATTCTATTAGATCATGGAGTCATTATTACCTGTTGGGTGCAAAACATATATTAAGTATTAAAAAGTGGAATAAATTAAAGAGAGGCACATAAGTGAAGTATTGGGTATTTGATTAGACCAAGAATTGAATTTCATTCAAGATAGGTGCATCTACCAGTGGACACAATCAAATTTAAGAAAGATGCATCGAGCAATGGATGCAATCAGAATTCAGAATACTTCTCCGAAGGGAAGAGAAAAAAAAAATAAAAATAAAAAAACTAAAAAACTAAATAATAGATAATAATAAAAACTATAGCAACACTACATTAGGTAAGGGTTATTAGATGCTGCCGAACTGAGGTTTAAAACCTTCTGAAAGATGCCAAGCAGAGAGAGAACTTTGGCCATTGAAAAAATAAAATAAATCACTGATGCACACAGGGCATTTGTTCTGTACAACAGTGATCTACAAACTACAAAAGCCATGAATATAGATCAATAAAACAAAAAATTGAAGGAAATAAAATGCATAAAAAAAGGGAAATAAAATGCATAAAAAAGGGAAAAGAGGAGGCCCACTCGCCATGGGGGATGGCGCGGGGGTGGGGGTGTCGAGAATATGGCCCTCCAAAAGAAAACCAAACAGCAAGTCAATTATCATTCAATATTCATCAAACAAAGCAATTAAATATAAGTTTGGAAAATTAAATCGTTGTGTTAAACCTATACTCGAGCCACAAAGGACCCAACAAAACCATATGCACCTTACAAAACTAAATCATAAACGAAGTCAAGAAATTGATCCAGGTTCAGTCTAATCATCAACAAAGCCATGCTCTTCTTCTTGAATCTCTCTTCCCCACACAACCGCCCCTCCACACATGCATGAATTTCACCACTTCGGAAAAAACCTAAGAGATCCAAAATATCAAGAAGCTCAAGTCCCATAACTCTCTTACACTTTACAATGTAAAAGAACATGGGCCTAGTTTCTCATCACTTTTGCACATGCCACCCTAATTAACATAAAGATTCCTACACAGAGATCAACATCTGCACTACACTAGGCTATGACTATAGCTTTCTATTAGATGCAATTGTATAGAGCCTTAGACCATTGATAATTTGACAATGTCAACCTGGCTTGACCAACAAGGCTAACTTGGGCTATCATAAAATAAGATATATACCTTATAGTTCTAGTTAGTTCTTTTGATCCACCAAACAAACCTAAAAAACAGTCACCAAAACAGCCACCAAATCAAATAATAGGATGCTTGGCAAACCAACAGGTCAAACAGAGACCATCACAGATAGATAGACAAGCCAATTCAAATAACAGCCACCAAATCAAACAGAACAAAGTAGACCAACTTAGCAGACCAACAGACCACAACCTAAGCAGCCAAGAAACATAAGGCAGCAGAAGCAGAATTAGCAGAATCAGCACATATGGATAGGAAAACAAAGATCCACCAAAATCAGCAACCCAGATCAGTCACTGGCCTCAGCAACCAGACAAGGCCACACCAAACCTGAGGCAAAATTTGACCAAAGAGACCGAAGAAAACACATCAACAACAAAAGCACAACAAGATCTACCCATAGCTTAGCATATCAGACCAGCAAATCAGTTAAGCCACCTATCCTGTTTAACAATCACCAAAACTTGTAGCTAGCTGCTTCCATACAGAATCTGGAACAAAAGCAGCAGCAACACCACAATTAGCAGACTCAAAATTAGGTAGCTGCTTCCATACCTGACAGCAGAGCAATACCTCCATTTCTGATGCAATACCTCACTTGCTGCAGGTTAAAAACCAAATCATTTATAGATACTCAACTACTTTAAGTAAGGTTAATCACAGCACAAAAATCAACTACTTAATTCGATTTGATTAAATCAGTTCACCATACAAGCACAAAACAAATAGCCTCATGACCATATATCAGTACAGCCCAGTATATCAGTAGTGCACAGCATTGTAGCCTGAGATTACTTGACTTGTATTGGACTATTGAATTGTATAATAATCCTCACATTGGTATAATGGATTGATTTGTTGTTGAGCAAGCATGAATGTTCTTGACTCATTAAAATTCCCATTTCATATGGTTATTCTCTTGAAAAACAGGGCTTTATTATTTTGCTTGTCCATTGACATTATAACTTATCATCTTACCTTGCTGCATGTAAAGATTGATGACTCTATTACACCAACCTGACATATCTTTAATTTTTTGTGCTATACACAGCCCGATTTATTGAGGCAACTTATGTTGTTGATGAGATGCCTGATTCTGTAAAGATATGCTTGTTACAGCTTCTATATGCCTTAGTCAGTAACATAATTTTGGCCTTTTCATTTACCCATCTCTAATGAGCTTGCAGTATTTGGAAATAATCATTTCATTCTAAATTTAGAATGGTCTTAGTACATGGATGTTTACATTTATTTGACTCTTTAGAAATATCACTTATCACTTATAATGTATCTGTATTTGTGGAAACCACCAACGACGATATTTAGTACTGTCTGTATAATTTGAAAATTTAGTAGCATTGTTGATTTCCTTGAATTTTCAAGGAAATGTACGTCATGGATTGAATGCTACAGGTATCTTGGCAATAGCACATAATGCAAACCATGTTAGTAACATTTCCTTGACATTTCATCTTTGACGTGGTGTTGGGCCCTTCTTAGGCTTGAACACTTTCACCTCTTGGCCTACTGGGGAAAAGTGATGGAAAAGGGTTTTTTGGCAGTCCAATCACCCCTAGTTGTATTTTGTTTCCTTGTTAGTGCCTTTCTTTCATGCGAGGGAAATCTTTTTCCAATATCTCCATGGATGTGTTTCTTGAATTCTTTCCTCCTAGTGATTTCAACAATTGCCAAACAACTTAAATTATGATGCAAGTTTATAACTTTTCTTAGTCATAATTACAACATAACCATAACTCATCTGATTTTTCAATTTTTATTGGAATAAATGCATCTTTTTGTATTTCATATATTTCAATTTCCTTGTTTTACCATATATGTTAAGAATTTTTTGTGCTTCTGCTATCCACTCAATGAGAGATTGATATTTTGACATGACTAAGCATAGAAATATTAAAGTAGATGTTGTTTTATCTTGAGGTACATGAAAGTTGTTTTTAAGTGTTTGTCATGAGCTGAAAAGATTTTTAATTATGAAAGGCAGCTTAGTTGGATTGATATTATTGGCATGACTAAGTATCTCTATATACGTACTAGTTGATGCTAACTTACCTTTTCAAATACATGAAGCTTGTTTAAGTGTGTCAAATACATGAAGCTTCTTTTCAATTACCCCTAGTTGTATTCTGTTTCACCCCAAAAGTTCACTCAACAGCAGCACATTTCCTCTGCTTTATACACCAGTACCCATCAATAGCCCCTCCACGGCTCACTTGATACATCTCTTGATCTTGCATTCTCAAGCTACTACCAATTCATACTTTTATTTCCCATCTTTGACAACAATCAGCAGCAAGTACAATTAATCAGCAGTAGTAACAATCAACAAAAGTTCTATAGTGAAAACTCTGCTGCTACTGATTGTTGCTGATGTAAAGAAGTTGCTGGATGTTTCTTCTAATTGTTGTTGGTTTTTCTGCTGTGTAGCATTGTTGCTGCTGTGTGCTGGCAGTGTCTTTTGACTCATTGGGTAGTTCATGTGTGTTGTTGTTGATGGGTGTCACAATCAGGAAAAAGACAAGATAAAGATTGCACATTAGTTAACTTTGCACGATTAATGAAAGATGCTGAGCCTTTTGTGTTGGCTTCTCAAGCAGAACAAGTAATGTATGTAGAAGACCTCAAACACAAAGATTGGCAAGTTGCTGTCAAGATAAATCCGAGAGATTTTTATGATATGAATGTGGGGTTTTATGTGGACAATGTAGAGGCATGCTTGCAGAGTGTTGTATGCAATCTACAAAGTGGTGATGGGGACAATAATTTTCATTTGGTTAGGACAGAAATGTCTGCTGCAATTGTAGATGCACCACTTTTTCAGGTGTTGAGAGAACGATGTTCATGATAGTGGAGATGATGATGGAGATGAGGAAGAATTAGATATTATGTGACTGTTAAACTTGTTGAACATTGTTAGTTATTTATATTTGAAAACAATTCTATAGTTTCCTTTCCCTCTCTTTCTTTATCATTGTTTTTGCCAATTTAATTGATTGTTTGAAGAATGAATAATGCATTTTACATTTAACTATGTCATTTACATATGTGGCTACAAAATATTTATTCACTATATGTTACATTTAATCACTATGAAGATAGCAACGTAGTAAAGGTGAATACACAATTTTTCTTTGTTAATTTTCTTCAAGGATTTTATTCATTTGCAAATAATTTATTTGGATCATTATAAATTTACAATTTGACTTGTCTATTTTGCTTGAATCATACTAGGATTCATATGTAAAGCAAAAAGCCTATGGACCCATATCTTCAGTTTCGCTCAGGCAATATTGGTGAGTTTACTGAGTCAACTCCATCTGAGATTCAACAAAACTCTAGTCAGCCCAATGATAATGCAGGTATGCAAATTCAAACCTTATAAAAATGCCATATTATTTCTTCATATATACTATATTAGTATTATTATTATTTATTTATTTATTTTTTATAAGTAGATAGTGCTAGGGAAAAAAGAAAACTAGAGGTCCTACTCAAATGCGTAATATTTGGGGAACTCGGGATGATGAGCGCCTAACAGTCAATTGGAACAAACTTGGCCAACCTGATAACAAATTGGCAACAAAATTATCATCATTCATTGGAACTATTGTGCATGATGGAAAAAATGCACCACTCATTTACAAGAATTAGCATAAAGTCCCAGAACATTACAAAGATCACATATGGGTACTTGTACAGGTAAATGACATAACATTGTGCGAAGATCATATGTGAAAAGTAGTAAACATGAGTAATATGATTAAAACAGCACTCTTTATAATTTTTTGTAATTTTAATTTTGTATGTGGAAAGATTAATTTTGTATTATTTTATTCTTCTCTCTCTCTCTCTCTCTTCTTCTTCTTCTTCTTCTTCTTCTTCTTCTTCTTCTTCTTCTCTCTCTCTTCAGTCAAAGTTTGATCTTCCAAGTCATGCTAGGACTTGGGTTATAAAGTATTCTGGTAAGAAGTTAAAAAACTAGAAGGCAAACAGAAAGAAAAATTATTATAAAGACCACTTGAGTTTTGACCAACAAAAACATTATAAAGATAATAAAGTATATGCTGATCAGTGGGAACACCTTATTAAGTATTGGGCCATTGAAGAAGTAAAGGTATACTCAATCTGATCATTATATGTTATTATACTTGCTATAGTTTGGGCAACATTAATTTATGCATTTGTAATTTTAGGCACAAAGTGATAAAAACAAAGAAAGTCGTGCAGAGCGAAAGTATAATCATACTACTGGAATAAAAAGTTTCCCACTTGTTCGAAAGAAGCAGGTTAATTAATCTTTTCATGTTGTATATTTAATATGACAATGTATGCATGATGTGACAAGAAGATATAATTTATATTTTGGAATATATTATTTTGTAAAAGAATAAGTTGGGACACTCTCTAACAGGTGCTCACATGTTTCAAGTATGTTATACAAAGGAGACTGGAACCCCTGAGGCAATGAAAGCAATGATAGTATGTATCAAATAATTATCTGTCCATTTGAACTCGTAGATTAGTTAAAATTCCCACATTATAGTGTTGAGTGATTGAAATGTATATATTAAGTTATGTTTATTGCAACCTTATAGAATGAAATGAATGAGAGGACAACTTTAAATGAAAATTATCAAATGAGGGCCCAAATGATACATTTGGACAAGTGATGGGTAAAGAAAAACATGGACGAGTTCGCATGTATGGATTAGGTGTCTCCCCGTCTAATTTATGGAGAGATACATCTGGCCATAAAGCAAACCAAGACATAACAATGGATGCTATGGAAGCTGAAAATTCGGAGCTAAGGTCCAAAGTTTCCCATGTCCAGCATGTTTCGAATAACTTGACAAACACATCTAACCAGGTAATTTTGTTAATAGAATCTATAAGTTATTAATGTTTTCCTACACATATATATACATACATATATCTATGTGTGTATGTTTGTAAAATTAATTAATTCAAATTTGGTTAGGTGACAACAACTTCTAGTCCTCTTGACATGGTAGCTCAACATCAAGCATGGACCTTGTCATCGATACAAGATGCCTCTCTTACTCAGGTATCCACTAAGAGCTAATCATATATATCATATTACTTCCAACTTTATTTTAGAATAGCATGCAAAACTTGTCTTACAATTAACCAAGGAATGAATATTGTGGACCTAAATTTCATTGTTTAAATCTAGACAAATTGTGTTACATAGTCAAGATCATGACATGACGAAGCATGTGCTTTTTTTTATTTTTTATTTTTTATTTTCTTGTCAAGCTTCAACAAGACATCTCTCCATCATTTATTACCGCATGGGCTCTTTTTTATTCTCTTAAAAAATATTTTTTGAAAGTAATTAATTGATTGTCATTTTTCACAATTACATTTGATTTACATTGTTGAGGTTGGGGGATCATGATATTAATAATGGGCATGGTTTTGATTGTTGTTAATTGGTGTCTTTGGTTGTTATTGATTCTTTAAGCTATTATTTGATATTGTCTATTATATAATTTGTTGTAGTGCGGTGAACCAATTAAGTGATTAAATCATTTGGTATCTACTAGAAAAATGAATATCACTTTCAGTTGTTATCATATTTACTCTGGCACTTTGTACTAGTTTATTTTTTAAATATTATTTATTAATTGTAAATATATAATTACTTAAGTAAGTAAATCTTGATTTACAGGTGGGAGATATAGTTGTTCAAAAAAGTGTCATTAGGCCAACAGAAATAGTTGCAATCAGAGTACTTAAAAGCACAGATGCATCTAAAGAAGTAGAAGGAGAAAAACTAGGACTTGACTATTGTGAGGTACATGTTCAAGTGCCAATCAAACCTAATGAGAGCTTGATCCGATCATATGGACCTGTCAAAACAATTGGACAAGCTATTGGAGCTCATGTTGCGTGGCCTGCTCCATTTGTGGTATATTTCTTTCATAAATAATAATTTCATTAACAAATTCTTATTAACTTAATATAGTGTCAATTACCTTTATAAGTTTATCTTTTGGATGCAGATTTGGCAACTTATGGATGCTAGCTGAGAATATTTATACAAGTGAGGCTGAGAGTTTGGAAACTGATTTTGTTTTGATAATTTTGCTCTCTGGAATATGGATGTCACTATGGCTTTTCAGAACTTATGGTTGAAATAATTTTCTTTTAAATTTTTTTTGCTTTAACTTTGTTAGTGTAGTAGAATATTTTATAATTTCGGCAAGGAAATTTTATTGCAATATAAATAAATTTATATTTCAATAATAAATAATTGATTGTGGTTTGAATTTTTTTTTTTTTTGATGTGATTATCCTATGGTGGTATGGTAATATTTGTTTATTGTTATGAAAATATTAAAGATGTCAAATTAATATAGGATGTGGTGATTAATATTCAATTGCTTATAAAATTGATTCAGTAAGTTCCAATGTCACTTGTATCCATTTAATGGCACAAATGAATTGGATTTAGTGCCATTTATATCAATTGTAAGATAACAAGTGTCATTAAAAATCCATGTAGTGGCATTTTTTAAATTGCAAGTCTTCTTTAATGACATTTCATAACGTCACGAATAGTGTCTACCATGACATTAAAGTGTCACTAAAAGTGTGTAGCCTTGATGGTGTAATGGCATTTAGAAGTGTCACTAATTCTTTTTTTAATGGCGCTTGATAGTGTCACAAATAGTAGCTATTATGACATCAAAATGTCATTGAAAGCTTTTAGCCATGATGATGTAGTTGCACTTGCATATATCTACCGTGGCATCGATAGAAATGACACTTGTTCAAAATGCCACAAGACTAAAAAATGTCATTAGAAGAATAGTTTTGTGGCACTTTCAAATGTCACTAAATTAAGAAAATGTTGTAGTGATTGTTACACTCACCATTAGATAATGCAATGAAATATCTTCATTATAAATATACGAATGGAGAGAATTACAATCATGGTAGGATCATTTTTTCTCCATGTCCTTCCCATGTTTGATTGGGTAAAAATAATTATATTAAAAATGAAATAATCATTCACTAATTTCGCATAATGGTCATTTCATTAATAGTGGGACTACACACTCAAAAAAATCTCTTATAAAATTACCCAGACTTTAGCATGTGGACAAAATTTTCCGAGGAAGATTTTCTTCGGTTCAAAATTTGGAATGGAGAGGATTGTTTGGGCCATTTTAATAATCTAAACTCTTTATTTTGTTGGACATTTAATATATTTCATATATACAAAAAAATTAGATTAATCTAATAACTGTGACTTGTTCAATTTATTGTGTTTTTTACTAGAAAAATTGATGATAATTGTATTTTTAAAAAATAAACTATACACTTTTTTATGACAAAAATAATAAATTGAACAAGTTGCAATTATCAATGAAAAACACAAAGCATCCGGTAAAATAAATGGTTTGGATCATCGAAATAAGACCCATGGTAGTCACTATGGGCCCAAACAATCCCTTCCACTCCAGATTTTAGATTGAAGGAAATCCTCATCCATTTGTTAAAGGTGGGACCTACAACATGTCAAGTTTATATTCACATCATCCAATCATTTTCTTGACAATTTTCTTGGTCAGAATCTTGGATCCATAGCTTTTTTCTTCCATTAATATTCTATTTTGTTCATTAGAACAAAATGAAATGGAATAATCATTCATTAGACTTTCTTATAGAATGATCATTTTCTTATAATGGTAAAATGATGATTCCATTTGTAATGTATTCTTTATTATTTTTTTTACTCAACCAATTATGAAATGAATATTTTTATGGAATTATCGTTCCATTTTATTATATCACAGTTAACCAAATACACCTAAGAGGTCATAAATTAACATTACATTCTTGCCTAAACTTATGGGTAAATTTTATTTTACACCTCTTCATTTTACATTTAATCTCACTTTGGCCCTTAACCTTTTAATTGTCTTAGTTAACCCCAAAAATTTTGAGTCAAGTTGCAATTTGGCTAAATTGTGTATCGCCTTTTCGAAAACTAACAAAAAACATCTATGTGACTGTACTAATTGCATTTAGCTTTAGCACCTTATACTTTTATCAAAACCTCACTTTAGTATCACCACTTTAGTCACGCATATACTTCTACCAAAATTTCAATTTAAACCTTTCATAACTTTAGTTTCTTTGTTAAATTTTGAAACCGTGTTATTCGATTGGAACCAATTAATTATAAATTGACGGGTAATGCTCCGGCGTGCAATACACATCGTATGCAACCCTACTACAAAATTACGTAAGTTCTTATGAACTTACATACGTGATCTTACAAAAAAGCGTAAGTTGAACATAAATTCACGTAAGTTCACTTTTATGAATAGAGTTGCACCCACCAATGAGCTTAATAGGGCCAAACAACTGGGGTTGATTAAAGGAGTCGCAATGGAAGTCAATGATATGGGCATCTCACATTTACAGTTTGTAGATGATACAATCATTTTCTACGAAACAGAGAGTGTGGAGCTCCTTTCAATTAAGAGGGTACTAAGATGCTTTGAGGTGATGTCTAGTCTCAAGATAAACTTCCACAAAAGCGTTGTGTGCGGGGTGGGCATTTCAGATAGAGAGGTGAATGAGTTTGTAGCAATATTAAATTGTCAAAGTTAGAGGCTGCAATTAGTGTATTTGAGCCTTCCTCTAGGAGCTAATCCTAAGAGGAAGTCAACTTGGAAACCACTAGTTGATAAAGTTCGGACAAACTTGTCTCTTTGGAAGATAAAATTGTCGTCTTTTTCTCGGAGGTTAACATTGATTAAGTCATTGGTGTCTTGTTTACCATCTTATTATATATCAAATTTTAAGATGCCAAAAGGATGGTGAAGATTATTGAGAAACTACAGACTGTATTTCTTTGGAGAGGAAATGAATTGAGGAGGAAAGTTCACTTAGTAAGATGGAAGGAGTTAATTAAATTTAAAACTCAAGGTGGCTTAGGGATAAAAAGCATAAGTGACATGAATGGTTGCTTACTCCTAAAGTGGTGGTGGAGGTATGTTGTCGAAGATAAAGCTTTGTGGAGGGAAGTGTTGTGCAGCAAGTATGGGAAGGTTGAGGAGGGTGGTGGCCTAATGTTGGGGGAGTGGGTATGGTATCTCCAATTTGGCAGGGTATTCTAAGTATTGCCCAGGAGAATCCTAGCCTGTTTGGATACTGCAAGGTTAAAGATTGGGAATGGGGAATGAATTCATTTCTGGTCTGATATTTGGTGTCATAACAACAGGTTATATGAGGTGTTCCCATGGCCATTTAGCTTATCAGAATAAAATGAGGGCACTTTATTGCATTTTAGTCAGAGAAGAGGAAGGTCAGAGGAGTAGAATCTGGTTTTCCGATGACTGTTGAGAGTTTGGGAGAAGGAAGAGGTAAGTAGGTGTAGACACCTCATTTTTGACCGTCCTCAAGACTTGGATGTCACCGTTTGAACACTCAGTGATCATCCATGTTTGTGTTCGTCTTGAGTTCCCGAAGGTCTCAGTCATGCGCCTTGCCTCAGGATCTTTCGACTCGACTGTTTTGTGTTTGGTTTTGCACCAAACACTTGTGTTTTTGCTCTGGAGGGCAGGGAATGGCTTGTTGGCCATCCCCACACCTCACCGGCCATGGCTTGAGGCCACCGGCCACTGTTTTGTAACCATTGGCCAAATGTTTGGCCGGTTGGCACTATTGATGGTCGGCCGACCATTGTTTTGGCTAATTTGGGATCTTTGGCTGGCCGGCCACTATGCATCTGCTTTTGGCAGATATTTTGTGCCAGCTGTGATAGCTGGCACCCACTTTGCCCCCCCTCCATACACGTGTATAGAGGGATTTCACTCTTGCTTAGCTTGTTTTGTAAGCTTTGCAAGAGTGATCCTCTATAAAGGGAGGCCTTCTCCTCCCTTCTCAAGGGTTAGAAGGTTAAGTTCCAGAGGTCTGGATTAGGGTTAGGGTTTGTGTATCACCTATCTCTATATCTCTCTCTCTTTTTGTCTTTGTGTGTGTATAAGTGTGTTTGTGTCTTACTTTTGTGAATAAACACCTAGTGCTACACCTTACCTTGGTTTCTGAGGTGCCAAAGGTTTATTTTCAAAGTTTTAAGCTGGTTTCGAGCTAAGGAAGGCTGCTGGAGCTCCATCCTTGAAGGGGTCTACAAGGGTAAGATTCTTGCTCTTTATTCTCCATTTTTGCATAGTCTTTTAACCTACCTTGCATCTATTTTTAGACTTTGTGTATAACTAATAAAAGTCTTGTTTTTGAGTGCTCTAAATAGTTGTTTAAGGTCACTTTATTGTTTGGGGTTGTTTGACCCCTCTTAGGCCTTGTTTGGTCCTCATTTTGTGCATTTTTGGTGAGCTCCGGGACCACCTTGTTTGGGCCTCCTCACCACTGAAACCCAGAGGGATTTCTGTGGTGGGGATGGTGCTTTAAGATCCTAAGAAGGCGAGGGCCATCCTCTCTCCTTGTTGCCTTCAATGTTGGCCATTTTAGCCTCGTGTGTGAGCATCTTGTTTAAGCGCATGTTGGTCATGTCTTAAGTGTTATTTGTGCTTATTTTTCCATGATATAGCACTGTTTTTTAATTGGTTTAGACACACCATGCATGCTTAGCATACTTGTCTTGTAATGCCATGAATTGCCTTAACATGTGCCTAGCATTTAGACCACTATGCTTACTTGTTTTGTCCTAGCTTTGTGAAGCTTTTATGCATGTTTTAGTGTGCCCAAGGTCTTTTTTTTGGTTGCTTAGGTCATCCATGCTTTGCTTTGTATAGCTACCATGTAATCCCCTTTGTGAGCCTTAAGTGTTGACCCCTCTAGCATGCTTTACTTGCTTGTTTCAGTGGTTTGGCACCACTTATAGCATCATTTCAGTCCTTGTGGTATGCTTGTATGCTTGCATTTGATGCCCCTTTAATGCTTTAAAAGGCTTGTGTCTTATGCTCCCTGTTTGGACCTTTATGTATACTTCCATGTTTAGACCATTTAGATGCCATCTAGGTGCATCTTTGGTCTTGTTTAGACTTGCATTGGACCTGTTTTAGGTCCTTCTGGCCCTTTGGGGCTTGCTTTATATAGCTTTGGTTTAAGCCCCCTTGAGTCTTGGACATTGTTGCATACTTGGCTTGTCTTGTTTACTTGGTTTGGCACCTTTATAACATGATTTTCAGAGCTTAGTACGCATGCCATATGTCCATGTTTGTCCCTTAAGTGTGCTTAAAAGTTTCTCTTTGATGCTTAAGTTTTGAACCATGTGTGCATGC